CCGAACGGTGGTAAATGATGTTTCCTAATTTTGACATTTGTGGGCTGGTGCTGGAGAACCACAAACCAGGAGTTTGAAAATGCCTGAAATCCTGAGGCCTTGGGGAGTCCAGCCCAGTTCTAGATAGACCACAGTCCTAGATAGACCAAAGACCCGATTCAGAAGAATGCAGCTTCTTCTCTGGGTCGGAAGTGATGTGATCAAGGATGTATACATGTATGTTTGTGTGTTTACGTCTAAATGCTTGGACATAGGCACACTCACAAGCCCGCAATCACATGTACCCATAGAAGATAAGTTATGATGGGCTATGGCTTCTCCCTGCCTCACAAGTCAATTACATAAAAAAAGATGTCTTGTTAATGGAGTTAGCAGGGATGCTAAATTGACAGCTTTGATTAAAGAATACAGTTAATGTTGTTTCTACTTGGAAACCACTTTTGGACTTGAGGTGGAAAAAAATGAAACTTTGATTTTGGGTTTTGCTTATTAGTTATTTTGTTATCGAAAAGGCTAGTATATATTATTATGTGAAAATAAAGTCGAGGTTGTATGTTATTACCTTATTCTACTGTGCCAAAAGGCATGCTGGCTGAGGAATTCTGGGAGTTGAAGTCCACAAGTCATAAAAGGGCCAGGTTTGAAGATTCCTAGCTCAGAGGATCAAAGCTAATAAAAACTGGAAGGAATATCAAGGGGAAGGAGACAGAAATGGAAGGGACAGGAAGAAGGGAGGATGGTACATAGCTTATGGGCTTTGGGAACATTTAAAAAAAAAAACTATCTCTAACTCTTTATCACCAGCCTTGTGTTGGGATTGGATCTAGGACAATCCTGCAATAGATGTCTTGAGATTGAAAATGGACAAATGACTAGGTGATCATTAAAAAAAATGCCTATGCCTTTTTGGTGATTTGAAACTCAGTATACCCTTCCACTGAGGTACAAGTATGAAAGTCTTTACAAGACAAAGTGGACACAGTGTTCCCTTGAAAAAAAATATTCTAGGCCAGGCTTTTCCAATATTTGGGGCTTGGTGAACAATCTGAAAGTCCATGAATGGGTTGATGAGCTGAAGAGTTTGGGTCCTGCTCTAAGTGGGTTGTATTTATGTGATAGACATTGCTCAATGCAGGAATGTGTATAAAGTCTTGTGCTTCTTGAGCAGAGTTTGATTTCTAGTGACATAAGTAACACATCTAGGTAGTTTTCTTAGTAATAATCCAGAAATGATTTGCCACTGCCTTCCTAGTTCAACCTACACCTTTGGGATTTTTTTTTGATACTCTCCCATTTCTCCAAGTGTTTTTCCAAGATCAGCCATGCAGGGTGATAGTGCCGCTGTAATAAAAATGTTTTTCAAGAACAAAGCCACAAGATTGCGACATATTTAACAATATATATTTAATATATAATTTCTAGATCAGTACATTCAGTTTAATGTGTTTTTCTTCACAAACAGAAGAACTCTTACAATAGTAAATTTCTAAAATAAATACTATTAAAATAGAGCTTCGAAATAAATATTCTATACAAAGGAAAACTTCTGTGGTAATTTTTTTTTCAGTCGAGGAAAGAAGTAAAGAAGAGGGAAAACCTGGACTGCTCTCTGTAAAGATTAATAAAAATAACCTAACCATGCACAGAGCTCAGGACAGCAACTTGAAAAAGCAGCTATTTTACTTTGCTAAAGCAACAAGAGACAGAAATAGCAAGTGCTGTGCCACTGTGTGCCCACTTTCCGTCTCCTTGCTTTGTATAGAATTATGCTGCCAGGCAGGTCTGAGAAGAAATAATGTTTGCTTAAAAGAAGGGATAGAACTATGACCTTTACTTGGTGTGCATTTTTCTTGTTTGTCCTGTTGAATAATGAAGGCCCATCCATCTGAGGGGAGCCTTCAGGACAAAGTGAACCACCCAGGAAAGATAAGTGAGGAAGAGGAAGAGGTCAAGGAGAAGAAACTTTTAGCATCTTCCACCACTGGCCATTCAGGAAGTGGTAGCCAGCTGCCAAGAAGGCCATGGGTTCCTTGCTTTTCCCAGGGATGGGGTGGGTAGGTATCTATGTAGATTGCACTTTTGATGCTTCTGAACAATTTCCTTGTGAATCAGGATCCAGCCTGACCATTCAGTAGAGTGCAAGGAAGTTCCCTGGATTAGCCAGTCAGATCTTAATTACACAAGGATGTGGTGGCTCTGTCTCTTGAGAGGATGAGGTGGTGAGAAGGGTGAATGGGGCAGAGAAGAGGACCAGCTGTAGAACGGAAAGGGCAAAAGGGTGAGGGTAGCAAGGAAGGACCTTTGCAGGCAGAGCATTCAAGAAGACCATCTCAAAGGAATAGCATGAAGCAGTTCAGGGTCTTCTTGGGCTGGACTAACCCAGAAAGTTTTCAATGCTCGGCAAGAATGTTGTCAGCGGTGTTGCTAGGTCTCAGGGAAAGAGCGGTAGAAACATGCGGACTGACTGCTACACAAGACGGCTAGGCAGAAGGAGGGGGAAGCTGTGGAGGCTGGCAGCTGAATTCTGCTTGTATTTTCAGACTCTCCCTTTCCACGGTCTTTTTCACACATAATCCATCTCCAATACGTTGATATCGATAGATTAAAAACAAGTTTCAAAATCCCACACAGTAATTTCAGTGGTTTTCAACTATGTACAGCAGTGTTTCCCAAACTTGACAATTTTAAGGCATGAGGACTTCAACTCCCAGAATTCCACAGCCAGCGTTGCTGGCTGTGGAATTCTGGGAGTTGAAGTCCTCATGCCTTAAAATTGTCAAGTTTGGGAAACACTGATGTACAGTAACAATAAAAGCCCCACAATTTCTTTCTTAAAAAGTCTAAGAAATAGAGACAAGTATAACAGGTCAAAAGTTTGACCCATCAATTTGGATGTTCTGCTACTTTGTCTGACTTAAGATTGCTAGAATTTACTTATTATTATTTTTTTTAAAAAAAATATTGCTTGATCAATATTGCTGCACACTAATAGGAACAAAAGGAACAAAAAGACAGCATTTTCAACTTAGTGACCTCCAGATGTTTTACACATTAGTTCCCCGGCTGTCAGGAGGATGTGGAGATGAAGTTTTAATAGACACCACTTTGAGGAATGCCGTAACAAAGCATTTATGGTTGGATAGTGCTACTTCATTACCATGAATATTGACAGGGGTGAATATATTCAACAATATGTTGCCTAAGGTTCTCTTTTTATTTCTCCACTCTGCCCCCAACCCCATGCCCCTGAGATTCTCTCAAGTATTTGGAAGAACATCCATAACACATCCTGAACAGAATCTACAAGCAGGAACTTGTAATCTCCACTGAAATGAATGGAAGAAGAACATTTTTGCAGATCTCTCCCACCATTCATCTCAATGGACAAAGGTTTCCAGACATCAAGGACTCATAAAACAAATGCTCCTTCCTATAAAATAGAAGTACAGGAACATATAAAAATATTAAAACTAATTTCCAGCCAGAAAATATCTACCATTCTAGACAAACTCTCCATCATGAAAATAAAAATGAGCATGTGCTTCTACCAGCTTATTCCTAAAATAATATGAAAATTGGCTTCTTTCTCTCTACATAGTTGATTAATTTTGAATCAGTACCCTGAGTTTGTCTTTTCTAATTAAAGAGAGAAATACTCTTCACTTTTACAGACCAGCTTTTTTACATGCTGGTCATTTCTATTTGTTGTGTAATGTCAATGACTTTCTGTTTAGCTTCTTGTAATAAGGTTAATCCACTGGCCTTGAGCAGGGATCCTTCCTACCTAAAAAGCATCTTAACAACCTTTGTTGCTGTCCAAGTGCAAAGATTAACCTTTCCAGCCTCCAGCCCTTCAAATATATTCCACTCCCCTTTTTTCTCTATCCCTCCCAGTCAGCACTAGAGCCAGAGAACTTGTAATCCAACCTACCCAGGGGGCACCGATTTCAGGAAGTTTGAGATTGATAGATGATATCTGGAAAGGGGTGGCTGACAAAAACTGTAGGCACTTTGTCAGAAATATGCCCCTCAAGCTTATTCCCCACCACCACCACCACCACAGCACTTTAAAAAAATGTTAGCAAGCCTTCTGTAAGAACAGTGGCATGCTAAGTTATAGAAAGAGGATTAAGCAACAACTATCTGTTTTGAGAATTAAAATATTGAGTGTATGCTGTTTTGTCAAAAACAATTCCATTTTGAACAGAGTTTGGGATTGTGCTGATCCATTTCTAACTGTCCCAAGATACTCAAGTATATTGTGCTTGGTTTGGATTAATCCTTCTGATGCAGAGTAAAGGCTAATTCTTAAGCTTCAGCTCAAGCATAGCATCTGATTTAATAAAGTATAATTTTTTTCCAGGAGACCTGAACTGCTTGTATTTGTATCCTGAAAGTACTGTTGAGATTAGTTCCCTTGAAATTTATGCTCAGGTTTTCCTTCTTCTTCTTCTTCTTTTTTTGCATAGCAGGATCTTATTTGTGCAATAAAAATGTGCAATAATGATCAAGCAACATAATGCACTATTTCAAATGTATGCTCAGAATTTTCTGCATCTGAAATGCAAAAAGGGCTTAAAGTCCTAGAAACTCTTTCGGCTGGGTATTCTCTGACCGAGTTGGGTCAGAGCTTTTCAAACTTGCTCCAGCCTTTAAACATCAAAAACCTTATATCACCATTTGCTCCTACTGACATTAATGGATAGAGTGCAAGTTGGTGGCCGGCCGGTGAGTTGAATTCTTTGTGGAACTTGCAAAAGAGAATGAATTCCCCCTCCCCACCATTTCTGTTACAAGAGATCAAGCAACATTTAATAAGGAAGTAATCGATAGTCAGAATATATTCTTTATATTCTCTATAAAGGAGAGAGAGGGAGGGAGGGAGGATGGGTGGGAGGGAGAGGGAGAGAGATGGAGGGAGGGAGGGAAAGGGAGAGAGAGGGAGGGAGGGAGAGAGAGAGAGGGAGGATGGGAGGGAGAGAGAGGGTGGGAGGGAGAGGAGAGAGAGAGAGAGAGAGAGAGAGAGAGAGAGAGAGAGAGAGAGAGAGAGAGAGAGAGAGAGATTGGAATATTTGCTTGTTATTCAGACTTTCAAGACTGTGCCTTAATGGCAGTAGAATCAACAGGAGTTAAAGGTAGTGCTAATCCAGGTGTTAAGCTCACCCAGGGCATTTAAACCTCTATGGGGAGGGCGCAGAATGCCCTATCCCTGAATCTACCCATCTGGTCAATCTTGAACCCTTTATTCAAGTTTGAATACTCTGTTGAAGCTTAATACCTGAGAAGAGCTACTGATTTCTACATATTCAGAAAGATTATTTTTAAAAGGAGTACTCTCACAACATACAGACACAATAATGACAACAACAAAATGAGGCGGTAAGGAACATTCTTGTTAAAGCCATGAGGGAAACTTAGCCCTTACTGCCCGTAACCTATAAATATGTTAATTGGATGGTGGCCCTGAACTGAAGTCCTGCTTCCATCTGCTGATGTACATGCCAAGCCTACTTCTGGATTATTCTTGCAATCTCTAGCTGCCAGGACTAGGAGAGGAGATGTCTTCAAATTGCTCCATATAGCCTGTTTTGGCCCTTGCACTGTAAAATATCTCCTTCCTTCCTTCCTTCCTTCCTTCCTTCCTTCCTTCCTTCCTTCCTTCCTTCCTTCCTTCCTTCCTTCCTTCCTTCCTTCCTTCCCTGCAAAAGACTGACATATGTTATACTTTGACACAGATGACAGAACACCCTTCCTGTTTTCTTTTTCCATCCTGCACTTCCCAACATCTCTCCAGCAGTTAAAAAGATTTCTCCGGTCTGCTGTCAGCTTTCCCATCTGGGGACGCTTTACAAATCACGCTGTTTGTGTTTTTGCACCGGCATCCAGGCCGACTCACTCGATCGTAGCATCGCTGCGATAGCTTCACACAACCAGTGGCTGGTAGGTAGCACAGCAAGCAGGGGAAAACCAGGGAGAGAGCACTCATGAAGGACCAACGGGCACAGCAGTTCGAATGGGAGCAAGAGCAGGGATGGTCTGCACAGGAGCCCTCATCATCCTCGTTGGTGCAATGGTAGAATATGCCCTTCACCAAGCACATGCAGGTTGAGTAATTGACCAGGTTCTGGGCTGAGCACAGACATTCCTGATTGCACACCCAACATGAGGGCAAAGTCCTAGGCAGGGCACATTCCTTACACTTGCATTTTCCACAGGCTTCACACAGCAAAAAGTGCTTGTCCAGCTTCAGAGAGGGGAGTCCTTTCAGATCCAAGGGCTTGCAGTGAACTGCCTTGGGTTGAAGCCGAACTGCTCTTGGGGAGGACTGGTCAGCCACGGGAGCTGGGACCATGTGGTCCAAAAGCCTTTGATCTGAAGATGTGCTGCTGCTGCTGCTGATGGAGCTGGGTCGCCCACTGAAGGAGATCCACGGATGGGTGACATCTTGCTCACACCTTGGTGGGAGGGTGGGTTCGTGGTGGCCCCGGGGAGGTTTCTGAGCAACCAGTTGAGCCAGTGTGGGATTGTCAATGTAGTCATTTTCCATATGTGTGGTCTTCATCTGGTCAATAGGCAGGATAGTCAAGGGATGTTGCAGTCTGCCATAAGGGATTCGGCTCTCTAGAAGAGGCTGTACCATGGTAGAATTGGGGACCACAGTCATGTTGTGAGGCATTCGAGGCTCCATTTTTTTTTTTAGGCTGTCCAGCACTGGGAAACCCTGCTTTTAAGTGTCCTGAAAAAAGGAGAATAAAGAGAAAAGAGGCTGAGATGTTATCCATTGCTGTCAAGAATTCCAACAAAGAGCTGAGCTGTTTCTCTGCCAGGGTTGTCCCAGGGTCAATCCTGGCAGTTTACAGGTTAACTCTTTGGAGTGTTGTCAATCCCATAGATGTGAAGTGACAATGTGGATGTGCAAGTGGAGTTGGAATGACTCTACACTGTGATGGCATTCCAAACAACTTGAACTGCAATCCCACCTCCATGGGGGATTTTTAACATTTTTAACAATGTTTTTTAACATTGGGGGAGAGGGGTGGAAAAAAGTATATCTATTGTTGTTAAGAAGAAAAAAGGTAGAATAACTAGTATGGTGTATGAGAACCAATCTAATGCAGAGTTTAAAATTGGAGAGACCCAGGGTCTTGGGAATCCTGCTTGGGGACTTTGAACCAGTCACTCACTCTCTCACAATATCTCACAGGACTGTTTTGGGGGTTTTAAAAAATGGGACAATGGAATACTATTAAATAAGTAGCTAGGACAAATGCCTTCTGCGGGCAGCACTAGGAGCTGTCCACCCAGAAATCCAACTTCAGTGAAGGCTTCAAGCCAATGTGGCTTCAGTATGCAGGGATCCCTATCTTTTTTTTAGCCATGGGGACACTTCCTTTCATGGTCTCTGCAATAATTTTTTTCACTTTTTAAAAATGTTTCTGATTTCCGGATGGCCAGAATTGTAGGAGTCATTATCTAAATTTAATAAATAAATGCATTGCACAGGTTGCTTCTCTAGGGAACCTTTATAGACACACATGTATGCAACACTTACTGGAATTAAAAGGGATCTTTTGGAATTAACCTGATTTCCACAAGGAGTCTTTTCAAACATGATCTAGCAGAAGGGGGAAACTTTTTGTGGACTGTAGCATATATCTGTGGATGTTTTAAGGATGGCAGTGTTATCTTAGGAAGAGATTAGAATCTGGTTTTGGGAAAGGTAAAGAGGCAGTGATTGGCTTAACTCACAGAGTGGGTGTGAGACTTAAATGGAAAGCTACATGTTCTTTAGGGATACTTGAAATCAAAGAGGTATACAATGACAGACATTGCCAATAGTTTTCTGCAGAGTGCAATAAAATAAGGGGAATAGGACTAATTTGTCCTATGAACCTGGAACACAGAATTGGAATCAAGAGTCTTAAATAGAACTGTGCTATTGAGTTAATGACACCGATTCTTGCCACAGAAATTCTGGGCCTGCTGCCCACAGTGCCATCTGTCAACCTCAGTTTTCTAGTCTCTAAATATGCAGAATAGTTATGATGACTCATTTGTTGAACCCGTACCTAGTTTCTGAAGGTCCAAAAGTAAAAGATGATAAATTAAGAGGAAATGTTAAAAATGCATACATAAATATTGTCTAAAATCCAGCCAAAAACAAGTGCTGCCAACTTATTCAGAAATATCTGTGAACGGAAGAGGGGCGTAATGTCATCATTCATCACTCTCACTCATTCACAGGTTACAAAAAAAAAAAAAGGTTGGCCATGAATGGATGCTAGTCAACTTGATGCCCTCCAGATATGTTAAGATTCTAACTCTCAGAATTTCCAGATAGTGATCATGCAAAACTGGATCTTGTAATCATTGCACATCTTGAGGGCACCAATTTGGGAAAGGACCCCCACATAAATCAAGATACAGATGCTCTGATTCTAGAAGACATGGAAAACACAGGAAAGGAGAGTCTCAATTTTACATCAACAGTATTCAATGTGTGTTCCCAACCCTCATTTTTATACCTTCAAATGTCAACTCCTTCTAAATGACTGATTTCATAGAATAAAAGAACTGGAATGATCTCAGATGTCATCTACTCCATTCTCCTGCTCAGGACAGGATTTGCTAAAGCATTTTGGATAGATGGCTATCTAGTTTCAGTTTGGTTAAGAATAGCAATACCTCTTTAGACTTATATACTGCTTCACAGTGCTTCATTTACCGACCTCGGAAGGATGAAAGGCTGAGTCAATCTTGAGCCAGTGAAAATCGAACTGCTGGCAGCTGGCAGCCAGCAGAATTAGCCTGCAGTACTGCATTATAATCACTGCGCCACCACATCTCTTTATGTCAGGCGGTTCTTCTTAATATCTAACCTGAATCTATTTCCCTGAGGTTTTAACTCATTGGTTCCAGTCTTGCTCTCTGAGGAAACAAAGAATAAGTCCACTCCCTCCTCCCTTGAAATTGTGATAGCCCCCCTCAACCAACTCCACTTCAGCAATCCCATTTTTAGACTATGGTGCCAAGTACTGGACACTAGATTCCAAGCAAGGCAAGACTCTTGCTGAGAAGAGTGAAGTAATTATTTTCCCCTGATCTGGACTCCATGCTCCTCTTTACGTATCTGAAAATAACAGTGCCAGGAAAACCTTTCTCTGCATCCTACTATCAGGAGATATTCATTATGCCAAAACATACAGGAGAGCCATTTCCAGACAGAGGTTCTGATTTTGGACTGAACTCACTGGACAGGTCCATTGGGTATCAGCTTTGATCCTGACATTAAGCCAATTCTACCCTGGTACCGAAAGCTTTGGATTTCATGGCCTGTAACTTTAAAATACCTGTGTGTCATTGCTCTCTATTTTGATGAAGACTGAATGGATTATAGTTAATGATTGTTTTGATTTTTTTAAGAAGTTTATGCCAATCTCAGATTTTACTGCTCTGGGGTGGGCTGGAAATAATTCATTCAATCCATCAATAACTACAAGAACGGCCATTTTCTAAATCACCTTTTATACTAGAATGCCTCGTGTATACTTTGGAATTAGAATAGTACTGATATTTGGCAGCTGAAATCCATACCTCTCCAAGAGGCAAGGTTGAGAAAGAGTGCGTTAGGATGTTCCTCAAGAATTCCCTGAATCCTCAGGACACAAGATCAGGAATATAGCATGATCATATTGCATTCAGTTCTCGACTTACAACCATTCATTTAATGGCTGTTTGAAGTTACAATGGCACTGAAAAAAATGACCAGTCTTTGTACCAGTCCTTGCATTGTTGCAGTGTCCCTGCGGTCATGGGGTTAAAACTTGGATACTTTACCACCAACATGTATTTACAGTAGTTGGAGCCTCTGGGAGTCATATGATCACGATTTGTGTCAGGTTCCAAAACCAAGAAATACACTGAGTTTCTTCTAAGTAGCTTCCTTTATTGTTTCATTTAATTTGTGTGTTTTTTTTACTGGTATCCCGCCTTTATTATTTTTACAAATAACTTACGTGGTGAACATATCCAGCACACCTTCCTCCTCCTATTTTCCCCACAATAACAACTGTGAGGTGGGTTGGGCTGAGAGTGTGTGACTGGCCCAAAGCCACCCAGCTGGCTTTCATGGCTAAGGCTGGACTAGAACTCACAGACAGAAAAATAGCCAAACGAAAGCAATTACTTGCTTCATTAAAGATCTACTTTGAGAACTCCTAGGGAGGAGATATCTTGACCTCTTATCTCGCAACTGAACTATCTAAACTTCGCTGTCTCCTGTTTCTCTGGAATGCAGCCCCTCCCTCCTGGGAATCCAGACTACATTCTCCCACAATTTGCAACTTTCTGATTTCTTCTGACAAGCTTCCAACAAGCAAAGTCAATGTGACTTCCAACAAGCAAAATTAATGGGTGAAACCAGATTTGTTTTAATGACCCTTTGATTTGCTTAATGACCAAGGCAATTCACTAACAATTCATGGCAAAAAAGTTCAGAAAGGCATGACTTACTTAATGACTTAGTGATGGACGTTCCAGTTCTAAATGTGGTCATAAGTCAAGAATAACTGCATAGCCTAGTAATGGTGTGAAGTTCAGTCATACCAAGCTTTGAGCTCCTGAACCTCTCCTTCCCTCTTTGCTCCAGCATGGCCAAGACCAGATTGGAAACTTACTTTTTAGAATAACTCACAATAACAGCATTCATAAACTAAACTCTCAGTAACATTAACTATGTATTTTTAAACCCTCTGCTTATGAAGTTGGCTTAACACCCCATCTCTGAGTATCCAGAGTTTATCATTTGGACAGTATATTCAGATGTGATTAATCTACAATGGAAAATTCCAAGTTCTTTGCTATGCTTGCATCAGAAGAAATGCAGTGTGCAGCCCTAAGATGTGATGCAACATGTTCTTGCAATGCTAAGCCAGGATAGGAGAAACTGTGTTTCTATTCCAACTTCAATCAGCCCCCAACTAGCCCAGCCCAGGTGGAAGATGGGAGCTAATGCCCAAGAACTTATGGAAGGCTACAGGTTGCTGAACTGGGGGGGGGGCACCATAATTTACTTTTTAAGTGCAAACATAGGCGAAACATTTTCTCTTCCTGCTAAAAATAATCCAAATATAAATTCCTTAAAAGCATATTTCTTAGGCTGAACATTAGTCCTCTGACTGTTTTGCAAAAAGAGAGTGTAATGACTGAGCTGCAAATCAGAACAGAGGACACAAAATCCTTTAAAATATTCAGACTATTTTTTTTTCATCCAAACACCAAACACCACATAATATTTGGTTTAAATGCTGTTTACTAGCCAATCCCTTTATTGCTAGTCTCTAATTTCATTGGAAGAGTGCAATTTATACTGGAGCCCATCCAGAGATTCAACTGTAGGGGAGGACATGAAACCACAGGAAGCAACTAAACTTAAATCAAAGAACGGAAATGGCTTGGTTCAAATTTAGAGAGTACACATTGTTTTCTGGTGGAGTTGCCACTTCCTTGCAGTGACCTTTAGATTCTTTATTAATTATGCTTTTTTTTTTTTTAAAGAGGCAAGCAACCCCAAGCATTCCTAGCTAAGACTGAGGAGAAGCTGTTGAAATCTGCAGAGCCAAAAAAGAGAACTGAAGGGAAACACCACTTCAGGAACAGAATGAGTAAACATGAGAAGTCATGGGGAGAGAGAGAAAGAGCAAGAACTCCATTCAAGATCCAATGAGACTTAAGAGT